ATATGTCACTGCAATTACTCATGTCGTGTTATGCGCTTTGATTCTAGGATCCGAACGACGCCATCGCAGCATTCAGCAGGGATCCGCGATCCACGCTGTGTAATGCTACAGTGCTCGCTCACTACCTCGTGTTCCCGGACGAAGCGACCGGCCAGGCCGTCAGCGACGACTCGTGCACGCTGACCGATGACCAACTCGTTGTCATGGCAACCGAGTTCTTCGTACAGCTCAACACGACGGCCGTTATAGAACAGGTGTGTGTGCGATCTCGCAACGTGCGTAGCGAAGAGACTTAAGAAGTTGAGATTGAGAAATTGGTTGATTAAGAAACGCTCATTAGGCTTGTCGTCATGTATGGGCAGCAGCGGTGGAAGTTTGTTTGAAATGGATTTGTTGTATTTATTTGTATTCGAGGAATTTACTTTTCCGATAGTGTAGTGTGGGTATGTGGGCATCTTCAATAAATATCGATGATTTCTAGACGTTTAATGTACCTAATTTTGTACAGAATTACCTATGATATAGCAGTGCTGTATTCTGTCTGTTAATGTTAATTAATAGCCACAGTAAACTATGTTTTCTCGGAGCATGCATGAAGTTACAAGCGACACTGATGTTGATTTAACATGTTTTCAAACAGTATTGTTTAATGCAAATGTATCTAATGGGTTTGTTGCAATATCATCAGATGTCTGTCATGGTAGCGCTGAATTCTGGTGGAGATACGCTGAATGTTGCCGAATGGGAGTATAGTTTGACAACGCTGGTTTCCGTATTTAAAGAGGTACATATCACACGCTTCTTCATAGGCACTGATGATTCATTAGTTACTTCTGGTGGTCTTCCTTAATTATTAAGAACTATTGACTACTGGCCACTGAATAATTTATGTATAAATTCGATCTGTTTTCTAGGTAGTTTCCCTTTGTGTTCTAAATATAGCCCAATACTGTATCGTTACCATTGTTATAACATTAGACAAGTTTTCTGCGGTGGATTGGTGTGTAGTGCGTTCATGTCACGCTTATAATATATGCATATATTATATATATTATATTTATTATATGTAGCATATTATGCTGATGGCGGTGACACACCCATTCTTGACTAGCTAAAGTCCCCCGGGTGGGAAAGGCACACAGTTGACCGAGGACGCCAATTGTTGCAGGTGATAGAGCTGAACAGCTTTGCGGCGTTGATGGACACCATGACGGGCTCGTCGAACCCACTCACTGACGCGAGCCTCGACAATAACACGAGTCAGCTAGTTGCTCACTGCTGTGTGGAAGCAACGAGACAATCTTCACAGCTCTACAGGAGTGATTCTAGACACAGAGCACGTGTACTCTAGTACTAGAAGTTGTTGCTGGTAGTTGTGTCTGTAACTTTGGCTGTTGCTGTGACTATGAGTGTGACTGTAGTTGTGGCTGTAGAGGTAGTGGTAGCTGTAACTATGGCTGTTGCTGTAGTTGTGGCTGGGTGTGGCTGTAGAGGTAGTGGTAGCTGTAACTATGGCTGTTGCTGTAGCTGTGGCTATAGCTGTTGCTGTAGTTGTGGCTATGGGTGTGGCTATAGAGGTAGTGGTGGCTGTAATACTATGGCGGTGTTGCTGTAGTTGTGGCTATGGGTGTGGCTGTAGAGGTAGTGGTAGCTGTAACTATGGCTGTTTCTGTAGCTGTGGCTATGGTTGTGGCTGTAGTTGTGGCTGTAGAGGTAGTGGTAGCTGTGGCTATGGCTGTTGCTGTAGTTGTGGCTATGGGTGTGGCTGTAGTTGTGGCTGTAGAGGTAGTGGTAGCTGTGATATGGTGTTGCTGTAGTTGTGGCTATAGAGGTAGTGGTAGCTGTGGCTATGGGTGTGGCTGTAGTTGTGGCTGTAGAGGTAGTGGTAGCTGTGGCTATGGGTGTTGCTGTAGTTGTGGCTGTAGAGGTAGTAGGTAGCTGTAACTATGGCTGTTGCTGTAGTTGTGGCTATAGAGGTAGTGGTAGCTGTAACTATGGCTGTTGCTGTAGTTGTGCTATAGAGGTAGTGTAGCTATAACTATGGCTGTTGCTGTAGTTGTGTGTAGAGGTAGTGGTAGCTGTGGCTATGGCTGTTGCTGTAGTTGTGCTGTAGAGTGAGTGGGAGCTGTAACTATGGCTGTTACTGTAGTTGTGGCTATGGCTGTTGCTGTAGTTGTTGCTGTAGAGGTAGTGGTAGCTGTGCTATGGGTGTGGCTGTAGTTGTGGCTGTAGAGGTAGTGGTAGCTGTAACTATGGCTGTTGCTGTAGTTGTGGCTGTGGAGGTAGTGGTAGCTGTAACTATGGCTGTTGCTGTAGTTGTGGCTGTAGAGGTAGTGGTAGCTGTAACTATGGCTGTTGCTGTAGTTGTGGCTATGGGTGTGGCTGTAGTTGTGGCTGTAGAGGTAGTGGTAGCTGTAACTATGGCTGTTGCTGTAGTTGTGGCTGTGCAGTAGTGGTAGTTGTGGCTATGGCTGTTGCTGTAGTTGTTGCTGTAGGTAGTGGTAGCTGTGGCTATGGCTGTTGCTGTAGTTGTGGCTATGGGTGTTGCTGTAGAGGTAGTGGTAGCTGTGGCTATGGGTGTTGCTGTAGTTGTTGCTGTAGAGGTAGTGGTAGCTGTGGTTATGCTGTTGCTGTAGCTGTGGCTGTAGAGGTCAGTGTAGCTGTGGCTATGGCTGTTGCTGTTAGTTGTTGCTGTAGAGGGTGGTAGCTGTGGCTATGGGTGTTGCTGTAGTTGTGGCTGTAGAGGTAGTGGTAGTTGTGGCTATGGCTGTTGCTGTAGTTGTGGCTGTAGAGGTAGTGGTAGCTGTAACTATGGCTGTTGCTTGTAGTTGTGGCTGTAGACGGTAGTGGTAGCTGTAATATGGCTGTTGCTGTAGTTGTGGCTGTAGAGGTGTGGTAGCTGTAACTATGGCTGTTGCTGTAGTTGTGGCTGTAGAGGTAGTGGTAGCTGTAACTATGGCTGTTGCTGTGTTGTGGCTGTTAGAGGTAGTGGTAGCTGTAACTATGGCTGTTGCTGTAGTTGTTGGCTGTAGAGTATTGTGGTAGCTGTAACTCTGGCTGTTGCTGTAGTTGTGGCTGTAGAGGTAGTGGTAGCTGTGGCTATGGGTGTTGCTGTAGCTGTGGCTGTAGAGGTAGTGGTAGCTGTGGCTATGGGTGTGGCTGTAGTTGTGGCTGTAGAGGTAGTCGTAGCTGTAACTATGGCTCAGGGTTCTCCAAGCTTTTTCATTATAGCATGGCGGCATATTAGTGGATGGCGGATATGGCGCATAAAATGGCGCATATGGCGGATATTTAGCATGGCGGCTATGATATTTAGAGTGTAGGGACAGTGATTTTCTGCGATCGCGGAACGACGGAAACACGACAGGAATGGCATTGAAACGGAAAGATGTTTTTCAACGGAACATTTAATTTCAATAAAATCACAAAACATTGACATAGCATTGGTAATGATATGGTTTCATTCAGAACAGTTTCAGAGCGAATTGACTTACATTACGACTTTTGGTAGCCTGTGTTTCGGTGCCGGTTCGGTTTCAAAGGTGTGTACCAAATAATTTTTTTTTCATGCAAATATGTAAATGGCATTTTTGTTTTTTCATGTGTACAAAGTCCATGCACACACACACATGAAAAAAAAAATGCCGTTTACATATTTGCATGAAAAAATAGTTTTTTTAAAATTTTTATTTGGGTGTGACCTTGTGTGTACAAAGTCTCTTGTCACGACTGCGATGGCTCAATGGTTGAGTGCTCGCCTCGTAGTGTGAAGGTCGGGGGTTCACTCCGGCCGGGTATACAAAGACTTGAAAAATGGTACACACGGCTTCATCTGCTTAGCATTCAGCAATAGAGATAGAGTGTGCAAGTTAACTCGCAGTGCTACAGTGGACTAACCCCCTACTGTAGCATTTACTGTGAAAGCAGCTGCGGGGCCTCAGGGTTACAGAACGGAGATAGGCACGCCCTATGCGCCTGCAGCTATACGCTATGCGTATGAAGGCGCGGGAAGGATTTAACAAAGTCTATGGCAAAACGGAATTTCCGTTTTTCAGCCACTTTGAAACGGAATTCATGATTTTCCACGCGAAAAGGCTGTGCTCCCTAAGAGTGGCGGGTGCATTTTAGGATGGCGCGGCCGCAGGCTATAAGTGTCTTGGAGAAACCCTGTGGCTGGTTGCTGTAGTTGTGGCTGATGGGTGTGGCTGTAGTTTGGCTGTAGAGGTAGTGGTAGCTGTACTATGGCTGTTGCTGTAGTTGTGGCTGTGAGGTAGTGTTAAGTATAACTATGGGCTGTTGCTGTAGTTGTGGCTGTAGGAGGGTAGTGGTTTAGCTATAACTAATGGCTGTTGCTGTAGTTGTGCTGCTGTAGAGTAGTGTAGTGTGGCTATGGCTGTTGCTTGTATTGTGGCTGTAGAGGTAGTGGTAGCTATAACTATGGCTGTTGCTGTAGTTGTGGCGTAGAGGTAGGGGTTGGTAGCTGTTACTATGGCTGTTGCTGTTCTATGTTGTGGCTGTAGAGTATGTGGTAGCTTGTGGCTATGGGCTGTGCTGCTAGTTGTGGGCTGTGAGTAGCGAGTGGTAAGCTGTGGCTATGGCTGTTGCTGTAGTTGTGGCCTGTGAGGTGACGGTAGCTGTGGCTACATGGCTGTTGCTGTAGTTGTGTAGCTTTAGCCGTAACTGTAGTAAGAGTTGTTGTGGCTATGTAATTTTAGTAATTGTCTTGCCGACTTCAGTGGTGATATCATGAATGGTCACGTGGTAATCTTACTTCTGTAGGATGATACAGACTCTGCCTCCAATCAGTTCAGTGGCTTCCACGACGACGACGCTTTCGTCTACCAGTATGACAATACACCTGTAAGTTATATCATGAACGTGTTTATACTAACATTGTATAACACTTAATATTATATATTAGGGTCGTGGTAATATGTATATATATATATACGTGTGTGTGCGTGCGTGCATGCATGTGTATAATTTCCTTTAGGATGTTGCGTATGATCATGATGTATATATATATATATATCAGAGATTGAAAGAACGTGGTACCACGAAGGTACTGCTTAAGATAGAGTCAAAAATTAAACCAAGTAAAAAATTAAAACATTCTGAAATGATAAACTATTTTGCACAAATGTCTGCTATAGAGCAATAACTCCAGGGGGGGGCGAATCTATGAGGCTTAAACAGTTAGAGGACACCTTTGGTCTGTCACTGACTGTGCACAGGGATTGCCTCTATGATGAACTATAATATCAAGAGCGTATAAAGAAGGAGAGCGTACAACGGTGAATGCCTGATTACCATGGTTGCGTATTAGTGAATTAATAACTTTCCCCGTTTATTTTGACGGCAAAGGTTTCTTAAAATATTTGACTATATGCAAACATGGTTTCACCATTCTCACCGTCTGTACGCTCTCCTTCTTTATATATGCTTCTGATATATGAGAGTGCATAATAGAGAGAGTATAACATGGTTTTACAGCCGGTTTTGCATAGTTTGTTCAAGCTTGTAATATTGCTAATCATATGCGAATAAATATATTTCAAACTTTCCGTTGTTTTTGTCTATGATTCTCCCTTATCCATATATCAATATGACCACCACAATTTAACCTGAAAATCGTATGTGTTCTTCAAAACAAGTTATCGAATACGCACACGGTTTCGTAACAGTTTTCCAGCATGGATGCATGTTTCGCCCAAACTTGTTATAGTAGGAGGCTTTATGCACATTTATCTGGCAAATTATGAAAGCATTTTGGGTATCAATCTGGTTCATACTGTTCCTCAACTAAGAATTTTTAGAGGAGCCCAAATAAATTTGACCCGGGAAACCCCCCCCCACTATGGGCCCGGTAGGGAACCCGAAACTGTTAATTTGCTATATCTTTGCCATTACTTGGTCGTTTTGAAGCAGTTAGGAGTCGATTAGGGGTTTTAAACATCAGGAACGATTGGACGAGTTTGGAAGCCGATAAATTTGTTAAAGGTCACGTGACTTCGTTCCTTCGGGTTCACCTTCGGCGGGCCGAAAATGGGTTTTTCATATCTCGGCTTTTTTCTCAAAAAGTTAGGTCATTTTGGGGTTTTGGCAGTCAAGAATTTATTGATATACATGATACACTTCAGATCCGGAAATTCGCGTTTCATTGGTCATGCTACGTGGTCAAAATCTGCGACTGACAGCCGCATCGTCCTCGCGGTCACTTGTTACATACACGCTACCAGTGCATATCATCGACTGTACATGCTTCAATTTAGTGATTGTGTCCTACTTCCTGGTGTCAAGTGCAGAAAGAAAGGCAAATGGACATTGTATATAGCTGGGATTTGCATGACTGCGCACTTAGAGTCACGATCTCGAGTTTGGTCTTGCTGCGTCCGCGTGGTCCATTGATGTGAAGTTGGTTCTGATAGAGTTTCTATCCACACATCTCAGCAGGCGGCTAGGGGATCGGTGAAGGGTGTTATCCACACGCATATCCTGCCTAATGTAGGCACTGCAAGCGTATACCGCGCAGTCTGAGGAATCCAATGAAGGTGGGAGGTCTTAACTTCATCAAACCTGAAGGCCTGGAACATGGAAAGCATGTTCATTGAGATCTTCGTACACAGCCCTCTTTGAGTATTACATAGCACAGCAAATATGCGCACAAGTATCTTTTCATGTGCTAGAGGATTACTTGTCTGCTGGTACACGCCTAGTTGTTTGAATGCTTCTGTCAGTATCCCTCATCGAGCACTTATTCCATGAGAAACCCAATCTCTTGGTCAGCTTGTAGAAAGAGCAGTTCGATCGGCGGCATGTGAAGCGTTGGCAAAGAATGGCAAGCGTTAGCAGAGTCCTCTCTAGTGACTCATAACAAACATTACATGGAAGTTCTCTTTCTTCGCTTTTTGTTTTTTTTTATATTTTCTTTTATTTATTTTATTTGTTTTGTTTTATTATTTTTTTTTTTTTTTTTTTTTATTTATTAAAATCAACATGAAAGCTCAAGGTTAGGGTGTCTTAGGAACTGGGGCATAAAGGCAGAGAAGAATATACAATGACAGGTCCGAATTACAACTGTCGTCAGTCAATCGCGATAAACCACATGCCACATGTCAATATACATTGGCAGCACACCTGTTGTTACGCTTCTTCTTGGTTTCCACTTTGGCATGTATATAGTCCTTTCACCAGCATTGGTGTTAGAACATTTCAAGAACCATTTGTGACACAGAATATCTTTCTTCCAGGACCAGGGGATGGTACCACAAGCTTTCCTACATTAGTGGCATTAAGGTTTGTTCTTGTTCTGATCATCTGTGAGAAAGGATTTTGGAGCAGTGCTATTCACGCAGTAAAATTAACTTGCTGTCCTGAACCTTTGGACTTCCTTTCCGGCGGGCGGTGGGGCTTTTGGATGCTTAATGGGTTATAGCTGAGGTCTGCTACGATATGATTTCGAGACGCGTCCAGGCGTGTGGCAGTGTATTCTCAATGCCTCTGAGGACCCTCTGGAGACCAAAATTCATTGAAGGTTTGACCCATCTGGAAGGACTGCAGCCTGCGCTTCGGGTGATCACTGAAAGGTCTAGCAACGAGACCTTTGACATTTGTTGAGCTTGGCATGTAACTTGCGGTTTTCGTGGATGTCAGGCAAATCGTGACTTTTGACTGTGATAAGGGGATCCATCCTTTTTGATGAAGCAACTCAGGTAATCGCGGTTATCTCCCCCTCGAAAAGTTTCTTTGTCTGCCGATTGATCAGACGGTTCTTGCAAGCATCTCTCAAATTTGTTGAACAGTTGCTGGGTGACCTTGATGCGAGGGTCTCTCAATCCGACGATCATCGGACACTGCTTGCGATGGAAGCTTCAGCATGTTTTCTTCATGTCATTTTTATACATTTCACTTCCATAAGACGATCTAGGTGCGACGAGCGAACTGCATCATACTGTTGCACTCAATTGTGAACACCCTTCCTGGATCATCGGACAATGACCTCATGGGGAGATATAGGAGGAATATTCAGTCTTCCAACACGTCGAGGTAATGGATTGATAAGAATTTTACTAGGACTTTCGACAGTCTGATTGAACTTGCGGATAAAGGAAGAGGTTGATCTCTTGTGAGCCTTGAGGCTAATGTAGGCCCTCTATTGGCAGCAATATTGCTGAATTCTGGCAGGCAGAGTCAAGCTTGAGATATTCTTGTCCTCCGGCAATTTACGAAGTCATGTACCCAGCCGTTGATGTTGATTTTCTTGTTTGTTGTGTCTTGGTGCTTGGTCCAGGGCTTCTTACGAGAAATGCAGTTGACTATGCATTTATGGGGTAACACCCTCACTCAGTCGCCAGCCCTCCTCTTTGAAATGTGTGGGATGGAACTCTATCAGAACCAAACCCACATTCAATGGACCACGACGCAGCAAGACACAATACCTCGATGATCGTGCTGGCATTTGTCGCTGCCGAACACTCAGTGCCAGTCCATGCAAATGAGGCTAAGAACAACTGTCTATGTGCCTTTCTTTCTGCACTTCGACCAGGAGTGCACAAATCCTGAATCATTGAAACATGTAGAGGATGCTATGCAGTCCAGTGTGGCTGTGTATGTAACAATTAGGACCGAGCGATTTGCGGACTGTCAGTCTGTCAGATTTTTTGGACTACGTGTTACACTACCAGGTGATACACCAATTTCCAGGGTCTGAAAGTGTAATCGTGTATCTAATAAATCCCTTGACCTCAAAACCCAAAATTGAAACATTTTTGAGAAAATAGCCGAGATATGTAGAAAAAAAAAAAAAAACCCATTTTCGGGCCTGCCGAGGTGAACCCTGAAGGACGATCTTCACGTGACCTTAACAGAAATTTAGGTTCCAAACCACGTCCAACTCGATTCCTTGATGTTTAAAACCCATAATCGACTCTAAGCTTTGTTTCAAATTCGACCAAGAAAAGGCAAGAGATATAAGCAAATTACAGTTTCGGTCCTTTACGACGGGCCATAGGGGGGGGGGGTGTTTCCGGGGCAAATTTTTTGGGCTCCTCAAAAATTCTTAGTTGAGGAACATATAACCAGAATTTGACCCTTAAAATGTCTGTTTCATAATTTGCGATTTTGGCTTAGTTACGTGCCATAAGCTCCTGGATATTATGGGATTAAGTGATTTCTATTGTCTATGAGGTCGCTGGGGGCCGTAAGGGAATCGCTTGCCTAGCTAGCTGGCCGTGAGCCAGATTATTTTTAGGCACACTGGAAACGCTGCACGCTGAATACAATTCAATGGCTAATTTCCATACGACCTCACTAAGTTCCGTATGACATAGACCTAATCCCATAACAAATTTGGTCTGAAACATGCAGTCCATGCGTGAAAACTGTATGAAACCGGTGTCGTATTCAATAACTTTTATTGAGAAGCACATACGATTTTTCAAGGTAACATTGGTGGTTCATATGTTAAGGAGAATCATGACGAAAACACGGTAAAGTTTGATAATATTTATTACGATATTGATAGATATATTTAGCAGTTGAAAACTTATGCAAACGCTGTGTAAAACGGTGTCGAATGCTCTTTCCTATTATGCACCTCTTAGATAATATATTATATATATATATATAATATATATATAGAGAGAAGAGAGAGAGAGAGAGAGAGAGAGAGAGAGAGAGATAGAGATAGATATCTATATATTATATAGATATATAGATCCATCAGAGTGTGTCTGTGTTTCTGTTTTCGCGCAGCTCCCTTCTGCAATGACATCTTCCAGTCGGTGGAGGAGCAAGGAGCGTTCGCGCGAATCACATGGGGACAGCTAAAGCCGATGCTTCGTGGCAAGGTTCTCTACACTCCGAACACCCCTGCTGTTCTCAGGGTGCTGAAGGAGGTATGATGTCAGCGAGCGTTCTGCGCTCCAGTGTGTTAGAGGAGAACGTATTAGAATGTTGCCTCACTCTGCTTGAGTGTGTTAAAGGAGAACATATTAGCATGTAACCTCACTCTGCTTGAGTGTGTTAGAGGAGAACATATTAGCATGTAACCTCACTCTGCTTGAGTGTGTTAGAGGAGAACATATTAGCATGTAACCTCACTCTGCTTGAGTGTGTTAAAGGAGAACATATCAGCATGTAACCTCACTCTGCTTGAATGTGTTAGAGGAGAACATATTAGCATGTAACCTCACTCTGCTTGAATGTGTTAAAGGAGAACATATTATTAGCATGTAACCTCACTCTGCTTGAATGTGTTAAAGGAGAACATATTATTAGCGTGTAACCTCACTCTGCTTGAATGTGTTAGAGGAGAACATTTTAGCATGTAACCTCGCTCTGCTTGAGTGTGTTAAGGGAGATAAGTCAGCATCGATGCTCTCCTTGGGTTGTCTAAGGCTCTAGGACATTGTCACATTTCTGTGACAATATGTAAGAAATTAACACCGATGACTGGCAAAGGCTAGCTGGTCTGAGACCGACCTGGAGGGGCGTTGTTTACGACGGTGTTGTCTATTTTGAGATGGTCAGGCGCCAAGAAGTTGAGAGGAAACGGATTTTACTCAAAGAGTGTGCAAGGTCCTGGGAAGAGGGAAAAACTTCTACCCCTACCCTCTGAAAACAGCTGTCAAATGTGGCAAGATGTGTGGGTCTCGTATAGGATTTATAAGTCATCTGAGAATGCACAGAGAATAACTAACTTCTAGACAATCATACTCGTTTGCGAGTGATTTCGTAGATAGAGAGGACATTGTAGGAGTATAGTAGGTAGCTAGCTCTTCACTGTGAGTTATTGATTGATTTGTTTCGTACGATGGGGAGAGATGTGCGTAAATATGAAAGACGAAAACTGACGCTGACAGAGTGGATGACTAATAATTAATAATTAATAATTTGAAAGGGTTTGCGTGTACAGACGAGGCGATGTCCTATTCTTGTCTATCTAGTCAGAAATTCTTAACGTGAAGTGTTGTTGCCTGTACTCGTGCCTTACTGGGAACTTGCTAGACATGTTTACATGTAGTCAGATGGGGGGGGAGGGTCATGTACTCAGTAGCGTAGCCTGAGTTCGTGTTGAGTGTAGGTTACTCTTGTTCACAACACGTTTGTTATATACGTCTTCAGTCATGTTTTGTGTATTCATCAGTTTATGTTGCTCGTATATAATATATATTTTGTTTCTTCATGTTGTATAGCGCTGTTTTGTACTATATCACTGAGAATTTTTTTTATTTTAACTGCTCAACATTATTGCATCTATCAGATTTTTTTCTCCATGAAAAAGGACGTTCTTCAGTACATGTATTTGTATTTGAATTGCATGCAATAAAGATTTAATAATAATAATAATAATAATAATAATAATGATAATAATGTAGGAGGCGTTATGATTCGGTCATGTAAATAATCTGTGTATCTGCCCAACTTCAGGCCAATCTGACCTTCGATGCGTTGGCGAGGGTGCAGACCCTGGCAACGTACTACATGGACGTCATCTACCCAGACCTGTGGGAATGGTTGAATAGCAGTGCCACGATAACCATGCTGAGGGTATGAGCTGCATGCAGTAGTATAGTTATACAGTAACGCTATACAGTATATTAACTATATCACTGTATATAGTTATATATATATATATGTGTACAGTTGATTCAGTGATACTGTGTTCACTTGGTTACCTTTACAGTAAATTATATTTACATGTCATCATTTAGTTCTGTTTGTTAGTATATAATCATTTTATTTATATTTTTTCAAGATGAAAGATGTAATATAAGATATATACAAAATTAAATCTAAATCTAAATCTAAATTATAACTAAGATAAAATTATCGTGGATCTTGCTCACTCAATCTCTGTGTGTGAGTCCAGTCCTTAGATCTCCATTAGTTTTATTTAATTAATGTGATTAGTCACACAATGAAGCCCAGGGATTTTAGCGCATGCATTCTCGCACATTATCTCGCTACACTATTGTAATATTGTTCACGGTGTGTGACAGGAGGTCCTGTTCATGATGCAAACGCGTCCTTGTGGGAATGTCGTTCGTGGTTTTCCCATCAGGACAAACGCGCGATTTGGCTTCACTCTCGTGACCCGCGTATTTTGCTTTCGTCAGGACGCTGCGTCGAGCCCCGTGCTAGCCGAGGCGCTCTACCAGCGCTGGGAAATTGACCTCCGAGCGGAGATGAGCGTGCTCTCACGGTTTCTCAACAACGGGCCACGAGTATTCGGCGATCCAGACTGGCGGGACTTGATGGAGCTATCGTTCACCGTTGCTAACCTCACGAACGAAATCCTCGGCGTATGTTACCGTATTGTCTTTGCCGTTTTGTCGTTTGCAACCAGGCGCGTTATCGGGGGGGACGTGTCTGATGATATCTACCCTTGGTTCGTGCGATCTTTTGTGTCGTAACTGTGGAACGTTGTGGTGTTTCTTTCCCTAGTATCTCGAAATAGATTGTATAGTCTCGTTGGAGTTACGGTTGCAGTATTGTTCTTCTTCTTATTATTAACATATTCTTATCTCATCATTGTTATTTCCATTGTTGTCATCATTATTATTATATTTATTATTATTATTATTATTATTATTGTCATTTATTATTAACCCCTGTTATTATTGTTATAATTATCATTATTATTATTATCATTAGGATTTTAGTTAATTTCATTTCATGGAGTTCATACTCTATCCCGCTTCTGTTCTTCTGTGACTCTCTCTCTCTCTCTCTCTGCACTGGTCATCACAGTGTTTTGAGCTGGATAAGTTTGAGGCGGTGGAGGATGAGGAGGCTGTGGTCCTACGCGGGCTGGAGCTTCAGAAGGACAGCCTGCTGTGGGCGGGGCTCGTCTTCGAGACGACGTCAGCCGACGACGCGACGGAGCTACCCCCGCACGTCACGTTCAAGATACGCATGGACAAGGAGCGGGTGGACAGTACGACGAGTGTGCAGGACAAGTAATGCTGTTAGGTCGCTAATCTGTGCTGTTAGAGAGTTCGTATGACGAAAATGAGCGTGAAATAAATCAATATTATAATAAAGAAATAAATATTCTTAGCGTGATTTACGTATTCATTAGTATTACGTGTTCGCGTTATAGATCTGAAATCCCGTTTGATCTCTTAGACGGAAAATTTGTTTCAATTAATAATATCTACACGAATGCTTCGAACACTATTATTGAATTGTCTTATTATTGTCTGTTATTTACTCGGAACATTTCATTCAAAAAAACCTCGACGTTCGCGCATTGGAACCCAAGATTCAGCTTACATTTGATGTAGATGGCAGCACCGGTGCTCTTTCTAATGAACGTCATCGTCGGCGGCGTGTTTTTTTCTCTCGCAGGTATTGGAGCATGCGGCCGCGCAGCAACCCCCAGACCGACATGAAGTACATCTTCTACGGGTTCTCCTACCTGCAGGACATGGTGGAGAACGGCATCGTTAAGGTGCAGACGGGAGCGAAGGACCTCGTCGGAGCTTACGTGCAGCAGTTCCCCTCGCCATGCTACGTCGACGACAAGTACGTAGAGCACGCGTCCCGGCGACAATGCTGCTGCCATCTAGTGGTGGGCATGTGTAACACGGTGCGGCGCGTGGGGCAAAAAAAATTGCGAGAGTTTGCGTCATGAGAAATGGCCAACACTGTGTCGTTGCCAGATTTAGTTTTGCGTCCCGACTTAATCTGGCTGTAATTGGCTGTATTATAAGGCTTGGCATTTCATGCGGTATCAACGTGTACTCAATTACATGCATGGGGATTAGGCCAGGGCTCGACTTTAACGGTGGCCCGGGTGCCAATGGCCACCTGAAACGGCGTCGGGCCACCTGAAACTGTCGGGTTGGTGGCCCGGCTGGCCACCAATAAAAATAAGGCCGTGGCTATGCGTCCGGACATCCATCTCACACAGAGATCTTGCGACACGTACACACATGATTGCGTAAGGGGATGCTCTGCTGATTGCCGAGTGTGTGTGTACGTGTGCGTGTGTGCATATGCGTGTGCGCGTGTGTACGTGTGTGTGTGCGTGTGCGTGTGCCCGTGCGCGCGCGTGTGTACGTGTGGTTTACTGGAAGCAGATTCTGAGAATGTGAATCGCAACAAGAAACAATGCTTTACTTGGCCTAAATCAAAACAGTAGTGCACGTGCAATCCAATGAATCCATTCGCTACCCATCAGCTGTATGGGTTCGTTGCGCAATTCATTTCTCCACGAGTTCAAGACAAGTGCGTACATCCCAGAGTGTATGTAGAGAGAGGGGTGTAGGGATGATACACTGTAGAGACAGGGAGGGGTGTAGGGATGATACACTGTAGAGACAGGATTTATTATATATATTATACTTTCTATTATTACTTATTCGCTATCTTATTCATTATACTTTTTACATTTTATCCTCCTATTTCCTTCTCTTCCACTGGCAACCAACAGAATTCTTTCACTACTCCCTAGCTGAACATCCCGGCTTGCCCTTCACACTTCTTATTTCAGTGTGGCCGGCCGGGCCACTTGCACGTATGCAGCATCTCAGGTGGCCCCACATCCGCGATTCTTCCAGGTGCCCCGTTGCTACATTTCATTAACATCACGCCTCCCTTATGTCACTCCTACCACCCTCACTGGGTCAACGGTGTTTTGGCAAAATCAATCGGCATAAAACCGATAACTAGATTCTCCGACAACAACAAAAAAAGAAGCAAAACCCTGGACTGAGTTAAATAAGTTTCGCAAAATATTACAAAAGCTTTCCAAATCCTCTGCCCAGCTATCTTTATTAATGTCACGCAGAATCTCCCCATGCCTCATCTAAAGACTATCAATCAAAACTGTCCTGTACATCATTCAATGTCAGTGTGACTGTCATCTGAACCTTCTGATGAATCAGGAACTTAAATTTCTCGACATCGGGGTCAGACCCTGCAGAGTCCGGCTCCAAGCTTGCTGGTCCTCTTTTGCACC